CGGCTGGAAGAGAATTTGTCAACCTAAGATAAGATTACAGGTTCTGTTCCTTCTAGATGTTTGCTTCTCTTTACCCAGCTGCTTTGTTTTAATCTTCCAGGTCCCCATACCTTAGACTAAGGCATGGGCAATAATTTAGCTATTGAGCATACAGGAGTGCCCTGGTTCATGGATGGGAAGGGCTAAGATGCTGGGTTACAGAGACGGGGCATGGTACTTATGCTTGGCTTCTTCACTGTGTGTGTTGGGGCACAGACCAGCACTGCTATAGGCAGCTCGATACGGATGCGATCAGTCTGGGGCCTTATCTGCAAGAATCAGGCAGCTATACTGGACTCACTTCACTCAGCCTTCTCCCTGTACTTATTTTACTTCGCTTTCTGGACAACTAACACAATGATGTCAGCCTGCGTCTGCAGAGTCTGAAACGCTAAACTCCTCCCTGAAGGTATAACCCCTTCTAGGAAAGTTGGGAATCCAAATTAGGAAATAAAAGAGCCTCCTGGGCTTGTCGTACTCCTCGAAAAACGTGGCCTCTTGCTGGGTAGGATGCTGAATAACTCTAGCTGTCACTGTGGGCCCTCCAGAGGGGAAGAAGGGGTTTGCTTTTTGCCCCAGCAGGATGGGGCTTCCAAGCTACACATTCTTGGAAGTAAGAAAGTCTTCTGAAGCTGCTGTTGTATCACCTCCCACAAGGAGAAACCAGGGCTATAGTTTTTTTCTGATGCTTAACCCTACTGAATTTTTAGGAGAGGAGGAGAAGACAACAGAAACAGGGATAGAAAAGCAGCTGAGATGAAGAAGCAGAGCTGTCTGGAGTGGAAGAAACAACTACATTTCTTTTGCCTTGAGAAAACTTGTACAAATTGAGCATGTTGTCAAAGCCTTTTCTAAACTTGCTTTCACTACCTTTATTTGTATACTTTCCTTTATTGATATAGTTCTTGTTAGCTATGTCCTTCCCAGGCTTTGAATAAGATTCACAGGCACTAACTAGTTCCTCTGCCTGTTAAGAGATGCTGTTTCTAGGGTTTTTTTTCCCTCTAGTTGCTCTGAGATTTGTTTTGGATTTGTATTTTATTCATTCATTTTCTGCCCTGAGTCTCTTTTGTGAAGTATATATTCCTTTTCATATATACGTTACCTTTGGCCCTCCTGTCCTCCCCTTCTGATTCTCTTCCTGTTCTTTGCGTGCCCCTTCCTCCTCGTCCATCCCTCTTATGGCTGCTCCCCTGCTGTTTCAGTTCAGTTGTCAAATGGACTAGTCCTGTCTTCTCTCTGCCTGGCAGGCTTCCCTTTGAAGCTCTGTAGCCCTGCTCTAAATCTGTCCGGCTGGCCTCAGGCGTTGTCTGCAATACAGGAAGATGCTGTGCAGCTGTACTTCAACAGCTGTTTTGGCCTGAAGTTTGGAAAACGGTTTAGTCAAGTTGCACCACTTAAAACGCTAATATGATTGAGGTTTTTGGGGAGCCAGAGAAGTACAGGGGTCGTTTTGTATGGGTGAGACCTCAGCGTCGGTTGTCTCTTTGACAGAGAAGAACCCCATTTATATGTGAATCAAATAATGATTGGCAATCAGACACTGATTGGGAAACATATGTAACTCCTGCCTAAATTTGCTATGAAATGAGATGCAAAAAGCTGCAGCAGGTGGGAAGGATGGTAAAGAAAAATATTATCAAGAAACTATACTTGTGTCTGTATAGGTAGAGTACTTAGATTTTTTGGGGGAGGGGGGAGGGATTTTACAGGAAGCTTACCTTGACTCAAAGTAGCTTACGAAATTTTTCCTATGATTTAAGGCTAGAAAGGATAAATTTGGCCTGGAAGCAGGATGAAAGTATCTCACTGGTGTTTGGGGAGCAATGTGCTGCTAAGAGAGGCGGTAGGTAAAGCACACCTCTTTTACTGCAGCTGGAAAAACTGGGGCAAAGGCCCAAAGACTGACTGATCAGTCAGTAGCAATGCTGGCAATAATGTGAGAATCATCTCCTCACACCGGTCCTGCCTGTCAGCCATTAAGTCGTGTTTTCTTTCCATTATACAGAACAGTTAGTCACATTACAGATGCTGAGAAGTTGTATCCTCTAGCTCTTTGAATCAGAAGTTGGCAAAGTAATTGTTTTGTTTTAAAACAGTATTTGTGCAGATTTTAGTGTAGGGGGATTAATTTGTCAGTGAGTAACATCACTTTATTTTAACCAATCTTTGTATAAGCGTTTAGAAATTATTGGCTTGTTACAGCTCTAATTATAGCTTTGCTCTGATCAACCAAAAAAAAATATACACAGCAACTTTAAAAAGATCAGGGTGGGGTGGTGACGGTGGGGAGAGATTTTGGCTTTCTTTTAATTTTTCACTAGCTAGCTTAAACTTGTCCATTTCTACTCACTGCATGCTTGGCACAAAATAAGCTTTTTTTCTATATCCAAGTAACACTCTCCTTCATCTTCAAAAATCCACTGATTGAACAGAGATTAAAGTATAAGCTTTCTTGTGGTTGAGGGTTGTTGGCCAAGCTACAGGAGAGCAGGGTTGAAATCCTGCTTTGTACGTATCTGGTAGGACAAGTCTTTGTTCTTTGATTTATTACAAGAAACACTTGTAGAGTAAGTACGTCTGTTCCAGATTGACAGCTTTGCCTTGAACCACACATGGGAAGATGGGTGGAGGGCTGGACTATCTGAAGGGGAAAAGGTTTAGGATGAGAAGTGAGAGCACCAAAGCTTCAAAGCAGCTAGAAGGGAACTCTGCTTGGGATGTGGTTACGAATCTGGTGTCCGTGTCTCCTGTCCTCCAGACACCCATGCACTTTTCAGTGCCTATGGAATGACAGGAGCTTATTTTACATCCCAACTGAGCAGTAATAACTCTAGAAAAATGACTAGCACTAATAATTAACACTATTTCTTGCAGCATTTTCAAGGC